TGCTACACCCGGCTACGCTGCTTCGCTTCTTCTTCTTGTTTACTACTGGCGGTTGGCTTTGGTCGCAGTACCGCCACCTTCTGCTCTGGAGTGTAAACGCTTCGCCTATGAGAAAAAGGAGCAGCTTCCAACCAAGCAATGGCACACCAGACTCCATTCATCTTATCAAGTGAGTCCAGTCTTAACATGATGCCATGATGAGATGAATGGAGTCTGGTGTGCCATAGCTTGGTTGAAAAGAAAACCTGCAGCCACACGGCCCTTTCTGGAACCTGTTTGACACCTTTGGTCTAGATTAATGCATTTGTGAAAAAGTCCTGCAACACTGGACTCTGGACAAGGGGGCTTTCAAGGTTATGGGAAAACTGAAACCCTGGAGTAGCAGAGCCCTATTTACACTCCCCACTAAAAACTGATCTGTGACAAGCTCTGCTACTTAACACCGTTCACACACCACGCTGGCACGGTTCCTGGCCTCCTAACCAGATCTAAAGTATTACTGCTCTCTAGAGGTAAACAAGCCAACCAACATGGTGGTGCCCCTAACATTGAGGAAGATTGCGGACTAAGAATGCAGCCTTTGGCGAATTTACTTGACAGAGTCGGGTTTTGAGAAGTGGATACGACAAATGATAGTCTAATCAGGTCTTACGGAACCAGGAAACGACGACAGACGTTGAGGCTCAACACACTGCTAAGCAGAATCATTACTGGAAATCGTGTGGCACGGTAGGGAAGCCAGTATTTTAATTATTGTACGAAATTTCATGATTACGGAGGCTGATTGTAAGGAGATGACGCGATCTGCTCATGCGCTCTGTTATATGAGAACCGAACTGATGAACTAGTACCATGTTAGCGCAGTTCGGTTGTTTCTGGCACGGTCGGGTTCAGTTCTGCATACTATTTACACTCAGCAGCTACCTCTGTTACCGTGCTCGGACCGATCTCGGTACGGTTCCAATGGGGTGGTGTAAATGGGGCTATTGACATGGTTGTGCTTAGTCCAAAGGATTATCGGAATGAAGGCTTCAAATGATTGCAATTTTGATTTTTGGCAAAAATCGTTCAGCCTTATATGGAACACAACAGTAAATTCTCTTCTTCAAATGATCATGGAAACACACCAACAGGGTTCAAGGTGAAAACGGTGACATAATAAAGATTGAAAATTATTGGTTTCATAACAAAAAAGCAACACTGAAAATGTTCAATTCATTATGAATCTAAGCTTTTTAACCAAGTGAATCAAAATGGCATCTGATGAGTTTGTGCTAATTAAGTGACAATAACAAACACACATCACCTGTAGAGACACTCAGGGTTCAGCTTGCTGAAAATATTCGCCAGGATGTGCCTGAGGTTCCTCTTCTTCAGCTCTGTGAGGATATCCAGCTCCCCCAGGCCCATCTTCCTGCCGATCATCCCCGCTAAAGGCATGGTGGTCCTGAACATCACTGGAGTCTCAACAAGTGCTGCTGTGAGCTTCAGCTCTTCCCTCAGACTTGGACTTTGACCAGATCTCTGGACCCTCTGCTGGCAGATAGCATGGACTAGCTGCAAGGCCGGAGTCAGAGACAGGTCAGCTGGGGACGTCCTGAGTGGAGTCATGGCTGGAGGAGCAGGGTCTGCGCACTGAGGTGATGCTTTCTCAAGCTTGGATGAAGAGGCACTTAATGGGGTGTTTGAGTCGTTTTTGGCAAAAATCAGGCTGTTAAAACATCTATCAGACATTTTGCTGCAGGGCGTAACTTCTGCAAAAACGTCATCATTAGAATGGCTGCTATTTTTAGGGCGTTCTTCATGTCGCCGGTTTCCTGAGTCTTCCTCAGACTGAGATCCGCCTTCTTTAAGGGTAGAAAGCCGATGGTGGCGCTGCAAACGGGAGGGTCTCTTTGCATTCAGATTTGGGGTCCCATTGATTCCTTTGGAGGCGGAGCCAAGAAGCTCCTGGAACGAGCCGTCATGGTCCACTGAAGAATCTTGAGATTTGTCAAGCGTTAAGGAGCTGAAACCACTGTCCTCACAGACAGACCTGCGCCGAGGTTAGAAAGAGGGCAACGTTAGCTTGGTTTCAGCAAACAAAAAAGAAAAGAAAAAAAGAACCTACCTGATGTCTTTCGGGGTTTGAGTAAACAATGGCGTGTAGATGAGACTGCCGCTGTCATCATTTTCACTGTTCAATGGGGATTGAAGGTTTTCGCTGGTTAACATGGGGAACAATTTGTCACGACGTGGAGTTTCTGCATTGAGCGGGTTCAAGGAAATGCTCCCCCCGAAATCTGCTTCCGAGACGACGCCTCCCTCGAAGGAGAACATGCAGGTGTCGGGTTTGCCGTCTTCACGGGTGGAGGTCCTCATCTGCGAGAAGAGGAGCCGCCGTTTCCTGCCGGACATCGCCGCGTCGTGACCCATGTTTGAACCGCCCGTGGCCCCGTCGGTTGTTAGATCCAGAGAGTTAAATGATGCACTGAGCCAGTGTTCAGGTCTCTTACTCAAACAGGACTCTGCATTCGAGGGGAATGTTGGTCCCGTCCCATCAGTTTTCACCAAGGCGGGTTTGCTTGTTAGAAGCTTGTGGCGCAGTAAAGGTCCCCTTCTGTTTAGCTTCGGCGTTTCACACCAGCTCCCTACTGATGCTGCTTCTCTGTTGTCTCTCCCCAAAACCCTAACCGGTCCTCTGCTCTGCTCCTTAGGGGTGACATGAAGCCGGAGGTTCTCTTTAGGAGTTTCGCAGATTTCTGATGGAGACAGAGACCCAGAGATGTCCCCCCCGCTGATGCTCTGTGGGCTCTGGAACCAACCCGAGTATCCGCTGTCAGAGCAGTCCTCATAGCAGTGCTGGCCTTTGTAGCTCTGTAGGTTGACATTTGATTTAGGAGTGCACTGCATTGCTCTGCTCATGTGGGCCCTTGGTTCACTGCACAAAGACCTCCAAGAGAAGAAAGCTCGTCTAGTGACCTGGAGATGAAAAATTACACTGCTTCAACCAAATGCTTAAACGTTTCTGCACATTTTGGTGGGAAAGTCAACACTGTAGTTAACAATTTAATACACAAATATTCATGTACGAGGGGCAATTAAAGGAGCCATGTAGATCATACATAAAACAAAGACTGGCTAATGTCAGCACCCTTCTGCAAAAAAAAATAGAATAAAAAATGTTTTAAATCAGACAGGAGAAACAAAGTGACGCTCCCCTTGTGGTTTTTTTCTGGTTTGAACATACAGTAGAGTCTTGCTTTCACACCCAGGAATGTCCAGCAGGTTTTAACTCCGGTTTAACACTAACAAGTTTAAACCATCGACTTATTGACTCGAAGGCAATCCCTCACACTAAGCATGCTTGTAGCGACAGTGGAGAGAAAAAAACTCCCGTTTAACAGGAAGAAACCTCCAGCAGAACCAGAATCAGTGTGAGCGGCCATCTGCCGAGGCCGACTGGGGTTCAAGGAGACAGAAGCAGAGATTCAAAAAGGGCAGCCCCGTCCAGGAAACACCCAGGCTGACGAGCACCGAGCCAGCTCCCATGCCAGAGGATGAAGAGAGCACATCCAGCCAGTCATGGTCAGAGAAACAGGACAACACTGGAAAACAGGCCGATCTCCAACATCTATAAACAAGGGTGTTGATGGCAGCAGCACAGCGGAGGTTTCTCTCCAGGATGGAGTCACAGTCAAACAGGAACTTTTCAATTTGCATGTTTTCAAAACCAAAATAAGACTTAGTTGGGTCTCTGTATAAAACCTCTAACTAAATTGACTATTTCTGACATTTTGAATTGAAAAAGCTTCCTGGATGGGAAGCGAAAGGTCTCCAAATTTGGAAATAAAGTCCAGCGGATTTTTTTTTTTTTTTTACTTTTTTGGAATCTCCCCAAAATGCAATCCTTCCAAAGCTTAGACATTTTGTCACTTTTTCTTCTTAGAGTTATTCTTATAATGGATAAACTACCCCACTATGCAATGATATGATGAGATCATAAAATCGGATGATCTGGTGAACTGCAAAGTGCCTTGAGACGAAATGTGTTGTGAATTGGCCCTATACAAATAAACTGAATTGAATGCCATCTGTAAAGATTAACTGTGTCATATTTTCATTATTTTTGAGACACATGCTTGTTTCACAAGCTTGAGTTTCATTGATCCTTAAAACTAAGGTTGATGGGACAGGTGTTGCGAATGAAACGGTGCCCAGCTTGTAAGAGCTCCTGTATTTCGCTGACTGTGTGCATTGATGACTGAAAGACATTTTCTGCCTACATTTATCTGTTTACTACACTGTGTTGAATTCATGTTAATGTGGATTTAAAGACATTCAATTAGCGGAAAAAGATTGCAGGGGGGGATAAAAAAAACAAACAAATTCTAATCAACCAAAACTTTCGCGACCCCATGCAGTACCTCTGTGGACCCCTAGGGGTCTCACAGACCCCTGTTTAAGACCTCCGTCCTAGAGCAAACGATTTAAATCAAGGTAATTTTTGAAAGAGATGTGCCAGTTGTCACATTTTACAATGAAATTAAAAAAAAAGAAATGGGCGATTATATTGTGAGGCCATATATATCGTTCAGCCCTTGCGTCTGAACATTACGCTAATGAATTGATTTAAACTGTCATCTTCAGCCATCAGGTTCAGTGGGCAGGATTCGGACAGCTACCATGGAGACGCTGACGTCTGATTGGCTGCTTCACACAGACGGAGAGGAAACTTCTTTCCTAGTTTGCTGTGACTCTCATTAACATTTTGGCGAAAAATGCTGCAGACGGAACTTCAAACTTTCTGCATTTTATTCACCACAAAATTCAACCAGCCTTTATCTGCCTACTTTGGTCTGAAACATCTAATAAGCTCACATGAGAAACTCGCTGTGGCCCAACATAGTGGAAGCTGCCACAGACTCCAGACTAGGGCTGCAACTAACCATTATTTTGCAAATCAATTAGTCTGTTGATAATTTATTTCATTAATTGCTTAATAATAGAATAGCCAAAGGTTCCTTAAGTTTCTTTAAGTAATTTCCCTCAGGGATTATTAAAGTATGCCTGATTCTGAAAGAAGATTTTTTAGGAATTTAAACCAGGTGAATCTAAAACATTTTCACACGAGGATTTCTGGATAAATCATTGACTGACGAAAAAGTTTTTTTTTTTTTATCTGAAATGCAAAATATGTATATAATTTTTTTTACAATGTTGGTACCGTTCCTGTTCTAAGTGGGCCACTCTGTAATGATTTAATGATTTAATGATTAATTGATTACTTAATTAGTTGACAATTATTTCAATAATTGATCAATCACAACTAATCTACACTGGTGAAAAATGAAGAAATAAGGCAACTTTTTAGGTGCCTGAGGGGCAGAAGGTCATTAAAACAAGAGAGCTAGTCTCTAAAACAGACATGGCTACAGCTTGATGCTAACATGTTTGTTAGCTGTCATAATTCTGACTTTTTTTCCATATTAAAGTGAAATAATATTTAAAAATCAGTTATCAGGATAAATGGCACTTCTCTTCATTCTTATTTCATTTTGTTCCCTTTAACTTTCCACACTAATTAAGTTCTGATGTATGAAATTAAGATTTTTTTTTTTAAATACAGATTACTCTTCTCTTCTCATCAATGTACCGGTAAGGAAAATACTATTTACTTATCGCTCACCACCAAGGGCCCGGCTGAGCTGGTTCATCACCAAGGGCCCAGCTGAGCTGGTTCATCACCAAGGGCCCAGCTGGCTGTTGCTATGAGCTGGGGATTTAAAGCCCCGTGCTCCAGGTCCTCTACATACAAAACTATAACCGAATTATCTCCTCTTTTTGGCTTGTTTTTGACGATTTATATTGGTAATTAAAAATAAACTTTTTTTTTTTTTTTTTTGGTAAGTAACGCGTTCATGGCCTTTCAGGTGCGGCAGACTTGAAGACCAATTAGCATGGCCGGAAAACCCACCTGGGTAAAGTTAGCCCAAACAAAGGGTGAACCAATGAAACATGTGTTAATAAAGCTAAAAACACCTTTAAAATGTACAGAAACTTACTCTGTCAGATAGTTTAACTCCTACAAAGGGCCGCACACTCAGGTTCAGCTCCAGGCCCCGGCTTCCAGCCTTCCTTTCCGCTGCATGTTCATCCTCGCAGCCTCAGCTCCCGCTTTCAAATTTGGAGCCTTCTGTTGACGGTGACGTATTTCCGGTCGGTCTGCTGAATGGCCTTCCGCGTCTGGTTACTATAGCAACCGAGTCTCTAGAGCCCTGGTCAAACAGAGAGCAGGTATGGTGGCTTTTTTTCCCTTCTTTGTTGAAACCTTGGTTGCATTAGACATGAAATTAATGGGACAAGTTTCAGCTAAAGCTCGAACAATAATTCATCACTGTTTTTAGTTAGTTGAGTTTTTGTTTATTTTT